TATTTAGGGTTGGCATATGTGACCTAATGATTTTCATTGCAATTGCATTGTTCAAACAAAGTCTTTTCATTTACCCCAGAGTAGAAGCAAAGTTATTAAAACATATTTTTTATATATAACACCTTTTGAATGCTGAGAATTAAAAACGAATACTTTCAATACGCGGGCATAACAATTTTGAACATTACGGTAATCCAATATTCGCGTGGAAAATATAGAAAATAGTTTTATGAAAACGTATAGCTACTCGAAACTACGCACATCATATTTAAAAAACAGCATACGGTGCTTTCGGTAATCACTATTTTGAGAGATAGTGCCAGTGCACTGGTAAAATATTACTAAGCCTGAAAAACATGTATTCCTGGTAATAGTAACAGATTGAGCTCGATTTTTCTCGAAAGAGTTGTAAATCAGTCATTGTCACATCGATATTTCGGGTTTATGAGGCGCTAAAGATGACAACTTCGAAGACGGCCCGCTAGGGGCGCGAGAATCGGTCCGGCAGAAAATTTCAGGGTAATTATCACGCGCGTTGTCGCGTGTCACCGCTTGAAAATAATGTAAATGTTGGGCGGAATTGCAAATTTTCCGCATTAAGAGTTAAGCGCGTTCGACCGTTACCGTTTAATCGCATCAATTTGCTCGCCCGCCGCGGAGTAATCCGCAGATTGGAGTTTGTTAAAGTTTGTGCCCGACCGGTCATCCGAGGCCCGATAAGGGCCATTGCTCGAAAAGTGTGAACTTCATCGAAGGGGGGATGCCAATCGATAAAGTTGCAACGCGAATAAACATATCTACAGTTGGTGTTGGGGCGGATGTAGCGATAACGTGTCTACATAAGGGAAAGTCCTTCCGATAAGGAAGCAACAGTCGTAAAGACCATTCAAGAATATTTTCGAAAGAACCTTTCCAGATAATACCTACCACACTATGTTACAGTTACATAACAATTAATATATAATAATAATACTTACATACATTCAGTAAACATTTATATACGAGTTATATACGGATATTCCAGTTTGTGCGATGCCTGGGCAGAATCATATTAAATTGGAAAAATTGGAATCATTATCCGAAAAGCTTCTTCTTCGGCGTCTAGCGAAAATCCGGAATGAAACTCGTAAAATCTCCATAAAATCCGATTACGGGATGCATTCCCGTAACCAATAATAATAATACAACTTCCGTTCTCCGTGCGCCATCTTTAAACTGTGTTTCTCCCTCGGCGCTATCAACTTGTATGCTCTTATCGGAACTCCCCAAAGGATTCGGGTAATTCTCAGTTGGTCCAGATATTGCGGAAAATAAAATTAACCGTTAATTACGTATATATCTGTGTTCAGGATCCCACGGGAACTGAGCGCAATTAGGTAACAATATTGGCAGCATTGATATCTCCGTCTGCGGACCCACCCTTATTATCGGTTAGGGTGAAATACTATCGGGTACCAATTAGTAATCGATGTTGCAGTTTCTCGGTACCACCCACTTTGCCACCTTACATTTCTGAGATAATCCTTCGACCACCTCGCTTCTTCGATTGCAACGAAAATAATCTCGAAACGTTGCTAACGAAACTTTTTTAAAGTATCGATTAACATTTTAACAGGTACCCAAACAGACTCTGCTCAAAAAAGTGTTGTGAATTAAAATTTTTTTTACAAATACATATGAATATCTATAGACCATCTATTGTAGATATCTACGATATATGTACATGTTACGTTCCATGTCCGGACATCTAGCATTTGAGTGTGTCTAAAATAGAGTTCATGGATATCTATATATATCTTGCACAACATTTATACATCTCGTAACATTTATACAGCATGTCGTCGTTTCAAAGAGAAATATAGCGGCGAAAGTTTTGCGTGGGGCGAAAAGTAGTTTAGTTTCACGTTAAGTACTTCAATTACCGCGGACTTGTCCACACGTCGTTAGAACCCTAAACTTTTCACCCCGTAATTTAGTTCTTAATGGAAAGTTTCCACGTCCCTAACTTCTTAACTCTTGCCTTTTTGTCAAGACCAACCTGTGGCGAAACATTAGCATTTACCGGCGGTAATTAGGTCGCCATAGTGTCAGTGCTTAAGTAATGAGTTAATTGAGGGGAACTGATCTTCCTCTTGATCGCGTTAAAAAGCTCTATTCGTCCAATACACCGGCTAACTTTTCACGAACTTGCTTTAATGCTTTAATGACTTACAGTTAGGAAGTAAAAAGTTACACGTTAATTGTAACATTGAAAGGGAAAAATAATTCTACGTTGTAAAAGTTCATTTTCCAAGTTATACCTATTCGCTCTCGTTACATTTCAATATTTTCACCTCAATTAAATTATGAGAATTATGAGAATATTTTTAAAGCTTTAGAATCTACCGTTCGCGTGGTTTTCACGGGCTAACTTCTCGAGGATTTATTGTAACAAAGAGGTTTATTAAATCGCGCAACAAACTCAATACCATTTCTATCGTATAATTGTAGTATTCCATTCCGGGGAGAATCAGCAGCCTTGTTTTCCTCTCATATTTCGGTTCATTGCAGAATAACAATTTAATTATCATTTTGAGCCGGATTCAGAGAAGCTAACAATAATCCAACGCATTTAAACTCTTGGTGGATGAATTGATTTTCCGTCAAACACCACCGCAAACGTGCCCGTTTACTGCAAATTTGCTTCCGCAAAAAACATTATCCTCCGGACTTTTAACCTTCCACAGGACCTAAATATTTTAATTCAACTTTTCGATGCGATTTCCACAACCCGTTAACAGTTAGTATTTTTCCCCAGTGGGTATAAAATTTTCCCAAATTGCAGATTTCCGTAAGTCCTCCAGGTTTAACAGCTACTCCGGACCCCCGTCCAACAACCCAGTCGTTTTATGCTTTTACAGGAACGCTCTAAATCCGGAGTCCTTAAGTATTTCATGTGGGGCTGTATCCTGGGGAGTCGTCCTTGTTCACGGCCCCTTTATAGGGCACCTGGCCGCGTTCTGAACAATAAATATCTGTCATGTCGACAAGCTGCTTCGGATTTCGGATCGTTCCTTTCGGAAATGGTAAGTTTATTTTCCAAGGGCTACAAGTTCGCATTAAGGTGAAGTGAAACACGTCGAGGAACTTGATCGACGTCAGTAAAGAAGATTTTTCTAAGTACCTACGTTGCCGACGTTCGTTTTTATATATACATTNTCGCGTTCTCCCTTAGGGCCTCCACAATCTCGTGATAAAGTTTCAAATGATTAGTTACGCCCAATTAGGAGGAAAGTTATATGAATATCTTGACTTTTTGGTACGTATGTATCACACTTCCATATCACCTTAAGATGCAATTTCATTTATGGCGTTGGACCACCGACCAAGTTCGCGCTCTTAGATTAGAGAGATGAACAATGGCCGGGTTGTTCACAGTTCCGAGCGATCGCGATCGGTTCAGCTGGCAATTCGCCCAAATGCGACCACGGGTTCTGGTAATTGTATTGAATTGAAAGTCTGAGACAGTTGTGCGCCTTGCGTCCTGATAAATCTTGGTTTAATCTACATTTAGTGGCAGTCTCGTGACTAAACCTCTCGATGGCCCTTACTCCGACGATTACGGAGTCGCAGCTGTTAACCTAATGGAATCCGCGGAAATCTTCCCATTCGCGGTGTCCATCTTGCTTAAGCCTTTCATCGTGTGAGTGTTAAAACACAATGACGAGGATAAATAATTAAATGTAAAAGAAAAATAAAAAAATTTAATTAACCGTAAAAGAAAAGCGGTTCATTTTCCAAATCCGGCTCCTTTCATACAAACGAACTTATACATACCTACTCTGAGAAGTTTAATTTAAAAAATACAAAACGAGTCCAGGCAACGTCGAGTTTAACGGCTAGTTTTGTCATAAAATTGGTGTTTCGAAGTTAAGCTCATTCCACGAGTTTGAAGACATTTCTACGAAATGTGCAAAATTATGCAACTTTAGCTGTTAGGGCACTCCAAAATGGTGTTATTTTTTATTAGGGGGAAGAAGCAGAGAAGAGTAAAAAAAAACCGATCGCTCTCGGTTGTTGAATGGAAATAAAGTGAAATATAAAATGTCACAGGGTGAGGCAAGCAGTTTCCCTCGGTGGGAAATTAACATTTCGCCGCCAGCTTGTTTCGTGGCAATCCGCAAAATCTGATTCGCAAGACCGAGTCCACGGTAAAAGTAATGACGTCAATAAAACTGCGTGACGAGTTCTCCATGCAATTATGAACTTCGGCTGCATCGCTACTGTCACGCGGGATGAATCCGAAAAAGCATCGTGTTTAATTGCAATTCATTAGTACTGGTACGCGACGAATCGAACAATCGAATGGAAAACAGCAATCAAATATGTGCCGTAAATATTCTTGGAGCAACGTGTTATATTTTTATGAAATTCGCCGTAAAATTGCAATTTGCAGGTAGTCTGCATTTATCGCTTGTCGGTGTTGACATTGCTCCCACCAATGATAAATAATAAACAGGAAGGTTAACTTTTATCGGAAAGATGAAATAAAATCTAAAAAGATTCAATACGCCGATACGTAACTTCAAAGTCACGTGAGGTTATAGACCATTAATATATATATGTCGCCACGTGTCACGTGACTCAGCAGGTATATACCTGCTTCGACTCGAGCGCGCCAGGCAACTCCGCGAGTCGCATTCCTCGAGTGCGTCGCGTCAGAGAGACGCCTCTTTTTTCCGCGTCGTCCCTAAGCATTCGATTTTACGGCTGGCACACTCCAAGCCGACAATTCGCAGCCTCTGACGAGAAAATACCGAAAGAACTCACGGAGAAACCTGACGTACGGTTCAGTGAATGCGGCGAGGAGAAAAACCAGCACAGGCGTCCTCGGAAGGCGTATCGTGTCTGGCTGTGTCGTTCGTGGCGGAGAGAAGCGACGCACGAGACGCAGCGTCCTCCCGCCATGCATCGAGACACATATGCACTCGTTGAGCAAAAATTATCGAGTTCTACCTTACCTGAGTAACGACCCGGAGTAGTCTGCTTGGTAGGCCTGCTGTGTTGGGCGCGAAGATGACACGTTAACTGGTTTTTAACTCCGTATCCGGGATATGCCGACGATACTGTAGCCGTGACGCCAGCCAGCAGATGAACACTCGTGGAAAACACGGGCGATCGATGCGCCATCTCGCGGCGCCGCCGCCGGCCGGTTGGTAAAGTAGACAGCGGCAGAGCGCCGCCATCGGGTCCACGGTTACTTCCCTTTGAATGGAGTAGAAGGTTCAGTTTGTGCACGGACGGGTTAGTGTAGTCGGAAGATTCGTCTGGATTCATCCGCTATCGTGGTCAAGGTTGGGGAAGTATAATAAATGATAAATAATTTCTCACGTAATATATGTGGCTTTCCACACGTTCCTTCAAAATTCGACTCGCAATATCTCTAAAACTACGACAAACACAAAAAAATGCATACATGCAGTTTTATAGAAAATTAAAATTCCTACAAAAAGTGTTGTATGTTGTTCGCCTGTATCTTACATATTTTTTCGAAAAAATTGACATTATCGTTGTGTCAATAGATATTTTTAACTGAATCAATTATATCTAAAACACTATGCGAGATACGATAAAAATGCATGTCACCTTTCTTATAAGGAATCACATTTTCTATCGATAAGGTTATATAAAATTTTAACGTATCTCGCACAGTATTCGAGATATTAAAAAAAATGAGTATATCTAAAATCAAAGAAAATGAATATAGCTCCTAATTGAACAGCATTCTATCGAGTCTATCGATTGTCTACAAATTTTAATTAACCGATAACACGCGGATTATATCCTCTTAGAAAAGAAATTCCGATAGCCATTTACCTCCGTTCGCAAATTGTGCTTTTAAATTATTAACGGCACGGACATGGGTTGGCATATTTATTACACCATAAAACACGGTGATAGTGTTGGGCATTGTAACACCGGATTAACGAGGTTTCTCATTGGGTGATCAGCCGTACTTATGTCCTCGAAGTGAAGCCACCGAAATAATATAGTGAGTGAATTTAGGTCTGTTTATGTTACAAACACGGTGCAGGATTACGGCACACCCGTGGAATACAAAGGACAAGAGCGATTAACAAGTTTGTTCTTCTTTCTTCTAAGAAATACGACACTCTCTCTGGGGAACAAAATCAAGTTCCGATGAGGTATGGTTTTGAGAAGGATCAAGGTCCTGGCACCCACGAAATTTCAATTTAAATCAAAATTGTTTATATAAGTTTGAAAAATTCTTTATAAGAAATGAAATTTCAAGGGTCTTAGGACCTTCCATATAGCCTCCATATTCACGTTGTAAAGTTTGATACGATTCGGGACACCCAGTTCTATGAAAAGTTTCATGAACGATTGAGCTTTCGGATGCCACTTTCACATCCCCTTAATATGTTTCTCAAAATATTTTAATTTTCCCTCTCTCTCCGGTGTATGCATCCGAAAGCTGATTTTATTTCCCTCGCCTTTTTCCTACTTCCTTCGCTCAAGTCTCACCTGCACCACTCCTCGGAAATATATTTCATAAATGCCCCGGAAGTACTCCGTCGCTCCGGTTAAATAATTAGAACTCTTTCCGCGTGTTTGCAGCTCCTGCAAATGGGTTTATACCGAATTTTATGCAAATTTCCCGAATTCCCTGTCATTCAGAAAAATTCCCGAACATTTCGTGAATATTCTTCCGTAGATGTGCCGGCCGTTCCCGTAATTATGTATTTTTCTCCGTGTTTATTTGCTCGGCTTTCATCTGCCGTCAGGAACCTCTCGGCAGAATAATTACTGCGAATCGCGTCATAAGTTTCCAGGCGTGGAAAGAACGCGCGTTTTGTCGCCTTTTTACTAGCTTTTAATTTCCGCCTTGCACCTCGCCACCGAGGCGAAATTAGTACCGGCAAAACGGAATTGATTAGCGCCGATAATGCGAATTGCATACAGTCATTAAGGGGATATGAAAGGGTTTATATACATAGAACGTCAAAATATTTATTAGAAGAACGCGATGCTCGTAAAATTTCATTTTTCATAGAAAAATTTTTATTTTTTGAAATAGAAGTAATTAATAACGTTGAGATAATTTAAGTTCGAATTTAAAATTGGGATTGATGTTAAATTTTAAGTTTAGATGTGTCCTGATCAATTTTCAAATTTTGCACATAGTGTAGAGAAGGTATTTCATAATTTGTTACAAGTAGACAAATAGATTAAAATGTATGCCAGAAAATTTTAAAACTTGTCATTATGTGCGTTTATAAATACAGGGTAATCTGAACGAAAAGTTAAATTCTCTAAAACGATTGGTAAATGTTATTTTAAAAATCCGTTTCACTCTTATAATCCTTATCGTACACTTGTAATTAGTGATAATTATTCGGTTTCTCTCTTCCTTGATTTATTGATTATTTGAAGAGCATCCATTGAGTTTCGGCTTTTGTTTAATTTTCGGTTAACACGGAGGTCGATACTACGTACACGTGATTAGTACAAGTACCGACAGATACGAGTGTACTCAACATGCGAATGGAATGAAACAAAGTAATAAATACCTATAACGAGGAAAAAACTTCAAATACAAAACGTTGAAATAAATATTTTAAATTGCGTTTAATTTACGTTTGGATGTCAAATGGAACGCTTCAGTTCATATAATTCTCAACGTAGACTGTAAAAGCCTTCAACATAAATATAAATGTCGGTAACGGAACGCGCCAGCTTATGTCACCACTTGAGTATGCAAAACGGTATTCCCACGAAAAAGGGTTCAGATGAATTTTATTCTATCGACGTCTATTAAATTTCTCAGCGCCTTTCATATCATCCTTATTCCCGGTTTTAAGGGAGCGGCTTTTGATGGGAACGGCAACGACAAGTCCGAAGGTTTTCACCGCACCTCAATATCCCTTTCGAATGTGGCAAACAAATTGGAGTGGCGACGAAAGGCGAAGAATATCTCCAGTGAGCGGGAATTTTTCGGGGTTAAGGACCAGATTTTCGCAGAATCTCGGTCGTGCATTGATTTCACATCTTGAAAGCCGGGGAAAATGGAAGCGTTTGAATTCTGCCGAGGTTAAAAGCGGATTTCAATGTAGCGCGTTGGGATTTCTTGAAATTTTAACAAGCCGCAATTAGTCTAGTTCCGCGGGACCCGCAATTAGCCCGAGTGTGTACTCAACCGAAAGGTGCATTACGGATTTTGCTCCTTGTTCGAGCAGCATCATACCTTGACAAATCGAAAAGACGAGCAAGGAAGGAGCGAGCTGGCAGGGCCGAAATGGCTTTCCGTATTTTTTTTGCATACCTTCAAAGAGAAAAAAATCCCCGCGGAGAAAATGCAGGCAGAATAATTGTTGGAATTAGGAGAGGCGCAGATTTTTGTCAAATTTTCCCGGCCGAGCTCCCAAAAATGACGAAGAATCCCAGGAATCCGAATGTGGAATTTCATAACGAAAGCATTTTAATATACCATGTATTAACAGCAAGCCTTGTTAGTTGCGTAGGAAAATATTTCAAGCACGTGGTAAAATTACTAAACAAAAATACATTTGTTTCCAAGCTTTTGATTATTACCGATATGTTATAATAAACCCTGATTGGATGGCTCCCTTCTTTTCAGGGTAGAATAACCCCAGAGTTGGTTAATTTTAATCCAACAACTAGTTTAACCAATAATAACTAAACCTAATTTTGAGGTTAAAAAGTAATTCTTGGCCGTGGCAGGAAGATCTTAAATTCCACTTCGCTGGCCCCAAAATTTGGCCTCTGGGGGGCTCGAAATAAATAAAGAAGCATGTAAATAACATTTGCCAAGATTATGATTCATGGCCGTGGCTAATTAAGAGGACTCGGTCTCGTTAAAGGGTGGGAAGGAGAAGAGGAGGCGAGAGTCCCGCGACGAAAACGAGGCAAAATTCCACTCGGATCCCTGAAAGAGGAGCAACTCGCGGTCTCCCGTAGCACGACCTGTTTGTCTTCATCTATTTGAGTTATGAAGGTTTCATTCGGTCGGCAATACGCTCCTTCTTCGAGATCCATCCGACGTTCTCGGAAGCGCACTCCGGATCCAGTTCCCTCCAGCTAACTGGTCCTGGAACTCGCGGAACTGGGTCATTGCCTGCGTCAATCTCCTCGTTATTCAAATCCTTAAAAGACGGCTTTATTTCTCCGAAACTGGTAACTTCTCCAAAATGGCGGCGCGATCCTCGGGATATAACTCCCAGGAGACGCACGCCGACGTCCTCTTTGCCTTCCAGAGAAAAATGCTGAACGGTCGAATAGGATTGCACGACATTAAATTCTTGTCATCAAATGTACGTCACTCTAAATAGCCCTAGTATTAATAATAATTTATTCAAACTAAATATGTCATTGAGATTTTCAAGAAATATTTCAAATATCTTCGAATGAAATCCACAAGAAATCTGAAAAAATCAGTCGCTTGAGATATTTAGCAAAGATTACAAAGAAATATTTAGAAATTATTCTATGCTACTAGGGAGTCTTCAGAAATCTGCGATTTAAGATGGTATGAAAGCATGTGTCAAAGTTTCGGACAGTTCGGTCAAATACCCTTAAAAAAAAGTGTTGTATTCGAATCGACTGTTTTGAGGGGGGTTTCACATCACTTTAAGTACACGCTGTACTCCACGCAGTGTACCCTATGGGGTACACAGAGTACGTTATCAGATCGGAAGCGGATAACGCTAGCTGAGCACAAAAAAGTCGGTTATCGAGATCGGGGGACCCCTGGAAAGGAAAGGAGAGAACGAGGGAGACCAGCTAGGAACCAGTCTTGTCCGTAGAAGTGACCTCGTACATTGGGCGAATCCTCGTAAATCCCAGCCACGACAACGCACCAATTCTTCCAGGATCTCGGAAAAATGTCCTCGAACCGCTCGGGTAGATATCCCCGCGAAAGCAAGAGTATTACTGGCTGTAAAATGCAACGGAATGGAGCCATTTCCTCGCCTTTTGCTATTCTCTCTTTTCCCAAAGGTCGTTCCGCCCTTCTCGGTCTATCCGCTGACAAATGTGGAGTCCGGTGACAACGACATCGGTAAGTTCAACAACGGGCCATCTAGAAAGCTTCATTACTCTTTGGTCTCGGTTCTTCCCCCTCGTTCCCGCGAAGGCGACGAACCTGCACCACTGAAAGGTTTTTTCTAACAAATCGTTTCGAAAAACCTTCGGGGCAATGGCTG